GAGCCGATCAGTTTGACTATAATTTTGCTGAAATCAGAGCTCTAGATGACTCTTAATTGAAGTTTGAATGTTTTTTGTTCAAAAAATTGCATTGAGATTCGTGATGATTGATGGAAATGGTTGGTGGCCTATCATATATATATATATATATATATATATATAATATATATATATATATATATATATATATATATTGATTTAAAAACTCTATTTAGTTAAAATAAATATTCATCTATGTAAATTGTATTTGATTAGAAAGCTTTTGCTCCTCCTTGTTGAAAGTCAAAGTAGAATGAATGTGTGTAAATAAAATATAAGTAATTTTGCTCAAAAAATTTTAACGGAAAACACATGTCCATTTACACTATATTGCAAGTAACATTCAGCGCATTTTTGCATATTTAATACTTTATCAACGATCGATCTTCATCCGCTCCACTTTAGTAAACAGCTATCAACACTGAATTTCTTTATAAAATCTTACGTCACTCTTCATAGAATTCTGCGTAGAATACGTAGCATTGGGAAGTGAAGCGGGTATCAGCTACCATGTCATGAATGAAGTCACACATTATACATATTTCAACCATATATAATAAAGTTATATTAGTATTAAATACAATGATCATATATATTTCTACTGCATGCACGTTATTTAGTACAAATTGACACAAATGAAACAAGCACTACTTTTACATGCACAGTTTTATCAAAGTAGTACTAAAGATAATTTAGATGACGCAAATAGTGGTTAAAAATAATTAAGTGGATAACCTAAAGACTTTATCTCATGTTTAAGGAGAGATAAGACTGCCAATTATTCAATTTTGAGTGATCTAATCTATCAAAATAAGATTAGTTCGATCATTCGAATTTAATTTTGAATTGGATAGGCAAAATCTTATTATTCGATGTCTTTATTTGAATTGGATATGGGCTGAAAATTTACACAATTGAAACTAATTTTGATTAAGAAAGTTTATAAGTTCAAGAAATATATATATTCATTCTTACTTAAATTCATATATAAGTGTGTATATGCATCTAAACATTAATAATCCCAAATTTAATAGGGTGACAGCTAACCTTGCCCCCAATTAGATAATTTAAAAAAATAAATTTTTTTTTTTCTTTTGCATTTGAATTGAGTTGGCAAAACTGGCGAGATGTTTCTTTTTGGAAAAATAATCTCTAATAAAAATTTTGTTTAAATTTTGAGCCAGAACTAGTCCTATAATACTTAAATGCATTTACATTGATACGGAGGAATTGTTATTTATTTACATATCGAACACCACATGAAATTTGATATTTATATTAATAATACTTTGATGTCATAAATTTATACATCAAAATTATATTTATACTAGATATATGTTAGAAAATTTGCGGCGGTAGACTAATGGATTATCATTCTAGTGTGGTACGGAGATTCATCACACACTTGAAAGATAGAAAACAACGAGTAATCACAACATAAATTTTTACGTGGAAAACTCGTAATGAGAAAAAACTGTTGGGCATAGCCCAACAGAAATGAACAATTTCTTCTCCCACGGGCGGGAAAAGGTTGAAACATCTTCAAAGTTATAACTTCGGTGCACGAATAAGCTTGTAAGGAGTGTGCGGCAAGCGATGGTGATCGGTGCGCTCAACGGTGGTCGACGATGATCAATGAAGGTAGGCGGTAGTCAAAAACGGTCGACGACAATTAGTGAAAGTCAACGGTGACTGGAGTGACATTGTATTTCAGCTTCTTCAGACTTCAAGCTCCCCCCGCCCCCCTCATGAGATGAGTGAGGCTTTATTTATAGTGTTATGTGTGCAATTAATACATGAATGTGAATCACTTTGATTGAATGGTCCAGAGAGGTACTTTCGATCATACTACATTTTATAAACATTTGAGTGTCTTAACGATATTAGAATTGAACAATCTTGGACTCGGTGGATTAGTCTTGCCGAGAAGCTCGATTTGACTTTAGGCTCACCAGCTTCGACATTCGTTTGACTTTTTAAATGAGTCTAATAAACTTTTAAGAGTGATTTAATAACTTAATATGAGTTTGCTTTTACTTGGATTGGACTAATTTTGAAATCATTGGATCTGTTTCATCGAGTCGTCAATTCGACTACAAGTTTACTTAAAACTAAGTTCTGAATGAGTTTTTATTTGAGTTTCGAATATTTTTTTTTCAAAAATTATCTTATGATTTGTGTCATATCTCGAGATTCGTGTCAAATGATAAAAATTTGTTGACTTAATATCACTCTTTTAAAAAGATAGTGATACTAATACTAAAGATTTCAATGATATGAATATAAATATGAATGATTAGTTGTTTGACATGAAAAGAAATAACAATAACACTATGAGTTGTATGCACCCAACAATGCAAATGCCCTTTTATTCTAAGATGAATTTAACATAATTTATAATTTATTCATATCCTCAGAAAAGGAAATCAACAATTTTGAATTTCAGTGTTTAAATTAAAATATTATTATTCAAATGTTCTAGTTATTTATTTAATAAATGATATTTATGTAATGATTTTATTTAATTTGAAACTAATTAAGAAGATCTAATTTTATGGGGTGAGAGTGGGACCACAATGTGGGGCTTGCCGGCTTTCCCGGGCTTCCGCACCCGCTTTCTGACTGGCCACTGCCCAGGTCTTCCTCCCCCTTGTTCACCATTTAACATTTCCTTTTACTTTCGCATCCTACTTTTCCATATTGTCATTTTCAACCCTTTTCTAAACCTATTTTTCATTTTTTAAATTAAATTTAATTTTATATATCAATATATGGCGACATATATTTTTTTTTCTTTCATATAAAAAAAAAAAACATTTTGCAGTGTGGACAGTGAGGTACCATGACCACGTGGCAGAAGTTAGATATTAAAATAATTCAGAGTATTTATATTATTTCCTTACTGAAAGCCTGTAACACACACACACAAACGTCATTTATTATTATTATTATTATTATTGCCATTCTGAGTAATGTTTATCTATCTGATTTAGAGATTAAAAAAATTTCTGACATGTTAGACCCATTTGCCCCATTGACACATATAATTGTCCCATTCAAAGTATAATGTTGACTTCTTCTTTTCATTTACAACAAATTTTATGCATCTACTGTCAATTTTTAAAATTTTATTTTTCAGTGTCATTTTTTCTAATACATTTAAATTTAAGAAAAAAAATTCAGGAAAAATGTTAGGTATTGTTCATAATATCAGAATTTGTAGTCTCTTGAAATGAAGATATATCTCTTGGAATTTAGTTGGTTGGGGGATCAGCGATGGTATAAGGGAAACGTGATAGACCAACTCATTATAAGAAACTTTATGATATATTTCTACCAAGG